ACACACACACACACACACACAAAAATACACACACGCACATATGGATCGTCACAATATGCGATTTTGCATTTGCACATATGCAAAAACGCACAATGAGATTATTCGAGCAACGGCACGATTACTTGACCATTAGTCACTTACTCATTTCAAATGCGATTAATAAGCATCTGAAGCGGTCCACCAACCTGTCCGAGGAACTCCTTAGCGACCGCATATTCGATTCTACTCGGTGCATTAATTGGAGAATATTCGGTCCTCACATTATTGACTTCATCGAACCGTAGTATGCCGAGACTCAAGAGACACGATATCACTAGAGTCATTAGAATTACCCGCACCGGTTGTCGTCCAATAAAATCGCCCAAACTAGAGAAATTTCTCGCTATCACTCGCTCCAGTTTTTCAATAGCACCCATCACGCGCGAAATTGTTCGCCGCTCGCAATCTGCACCTTCTTCAAAAGATCCGAAGAATCCAGCTAGCACACTGCTTCTGAAGGATCTTCGCTGAAAAAAAAAGATACGTTTCTCTGAAACCGATTAAACGTTAGTCACGCCGAAAAGTCTCACACTGAATCGTCACGCTTTAGATGGTACTATGCATTCAGTCGCTGCCGCTAGTTGGTGAGGATCAAAAGTGAATTATCTAATTGTTCAGTAGGGTCTTATAATAAAAATATTACATTCGTTGAAATCTCTGCCGCAAGCTCTTCTCAAAGTGCAACTACACTTTCAGTAACACACTCAATGTCAAACATTTCGCCCCAACATGAATACCTTATTTGACACCAGTTGCTTGTCAGAGTTTGTGTGGCATCCTTCGGATTTTCTTCCCCCTAAATCGCCCATTTTGTGCAAATGCCAACCAGTAATGGGCGACACCAATCCGTCATCAGCAGGAACAAGATCTGTCCGCAAAATTTTATTTCCTTATATGAATGTAACGAAACTCTTCACGTCGCTCGTCTGACGAATCGTTTTTTCTGTATATTTTGTCATGACGAAATACAATAAGCATCCCTTGTTCCATCTCACTATCCGATATGACCTGCATTTGTTCGTTAGCTTTCGTAAGTGAGCATGGCTTGCATTACTGCGCCATTGCCTCCAGCATAGTGTCACGGTAAACACAGATTATCCAATTCGACACTTTGAGGATATCGATGATACTGTGAAGTTTACACCAGCTGGTAGCTCTTTTACGAGCAATCTTCGGCTAGAGAATGTGGTACATATTTACTTTCTCGTCGAGTTATGTTTAACTATTAACTTTTCTTAAGTGATTACTGCTTATCTGCATTTTGGCACAAGCATATCGGTATTTTTTATCACCATCGCCTTCGATGCGTTGGTTTTCTGACCCGATTCCTTCCTTTGCAGGCTGAACTCCTACGGAATGAAGGCGTTCTTCATTCAGATTTTTACCCCGCTACAACGATTTTGATGCAGCTTTGTGAACTTTAGTTCACAGCCTATTGCCATGACTTTAATCGGTTTAGCGATACGCAATTATTAAATCCTTCCAACATACTAAATTTTCAGTGAAAAAAGTGTGACTCAAACTATAAGCTTCCTGACCGTACAAAAACGCTCAAGGTTGCAATCAGTTATCATTTCTTGCAAATTAGCACCCTTTTTTTGCTGTAAAGAAGCCAGTTGTTTGTTTCAGAGCTACTATCTGTGTGCAGTGTTCATCTCTGGCAAAAAACCTGCAGAATTGCAAAAAATAAAAGCAGATCGGTTTGCTGAAAGAGCAAAGAAAAGTTGCGTTTCGAATTTACTATGGTCAGCCGGAGGAGAATTTGGAAACGACGTTAAATTTTAGCAAGAAGCATAATAAAATGTAACCTGCTGCAGCCTAAAGAACAAGCGCAGAAAGAACGAGCAATTACAAAGGAAAAAGAAAAAAAGATTCTGATAAGAAAATAAGCATCAATTCCGAGGGAAGTCCATTGCTGAGAACGATAAACTGGGCAAAATTCAAACACACCCCTAAACGCTCTTGAAAAATATCACTGGTCTTAAGTTACAACTGTATTTGAAGTCGTCGACAGCGATCGTCAATTCGAAGTACACTGGGTCGCCGACTGTTTAATTTTTGGTGATCTTTTGTCACACTTTTTGTGGAAGTACAAAACACATTGAAGGAAATTTTGAAAGATCATAAATTACCTATAAAAAATCGGCAGCATAAGAAAAAGGATGAGTTAAGGATGCTAGCTCAGATGATCAATCATCTGCACTGTTTCACATTCCGGGGACCACAACTGGAAGGGAGGAGGGAACGCAGTGCATGTATACTTCGTCCTTCGTCCCTCTAAGAGACGGGGGCTTGATGGAGGTTGCGAAGTTTTGCAAGTGTGGTGACTAAGTTCGTAAGCTGATCAGTGGAACTTTAGCTTAACATGAATGATGTGTCAAGTTGGATTTCCTTGAGGAGGCAGAGGGGAGGGAGGGAGGGGAGGGGAGCAGTGACGAGGGAAACAAAAAACGCATGCTCACGCCGGTCCCGTGGTGCGCGTCGCCGTTTGTTCTGATGTTTACATCTTTATTATAAAGTCTCATAAACTCGGAGCTGTTAGGAAATAAAAAAATTACTCGTCAAAACTTTGCCAAAAAAGAAAATATAGTCTCAGGCACCTTATTAGAAGAAACTGAAGTGCAAGGGTCAATAGCGGTCCAGGTACTTCAGTAAAAGAGTTATTCTTAGCTAAAGCAACTGAGAGAAAAATGGTATAATTCAAGTTCAAGTCAAACGAAACGCTGAAATACAAGCGCAAGCAGTTCTCCGCAAAAAATTGTTGCGGATGCACAGTGTTGCGGATCTCCTTGTCCATGCAAACACGGCTTTATTGCTCCACAATGAACTTTTGACCTTGTTAACAAACACACAGTTTACCCATCCTGGAGTCGGAGCATCAACAAGAATCTGGATTTGTTCGCCATGCCACCACGGTGAGGCTTCAAAGCCTGTTCCAGGTTTCTTTTTTGTTTTATGTGTTACAATGAAATTCAGAGACCCCGTGTTCCTCAGTACACTCGTTGTGTTATCAGCCTGAATTGGGATTACCCTTTAAAAGTCAAATAAAAAATTGGAAAAATGTTTTCAGTTCATTGCTTGGCGTGATCTAGGATTTTGGCGGTTTGTAGTACTGAAAGAAACTGGCGAAAGAGAAATGGTAATGCCTACATTACAAAACGTTTATTATTACGACTGCTTCTTTCTCACAAAATTAGTTACTTTTTACAACGATTGGTAGTGCTCGTATGGCAGCAAGTAAGAATTAAGACATTAGTTTAGCTTTGAAAGTGCGAATTCTGGAAAGAGGTGGAGGGCTTGGTTTAAAAGAAATGCTTTTGGCAGAGGTGTCAGGAAGTAATTAGGTTGTAAAACTACAGTAAATGTGCGTGGCGGTGAGAGAACAGCGCAAGCGGGCTATCCTCAATAAACTGGAAGAAAACTTGTTACCTCTACTTCGAAAGGATTTTGACGGAAACCTCCCAAAAATTAAGCGCATGCATTTTAAAGAAAGATTTTCCCTTTCATGTTTGTACCGCTATATCATTAGAAAAGGAATATAAGTCCTCGGTCTGAACAGTGCAGCAGATCGACTAGACGATTTTTATGCGTTTTTGCTGTGCAGCGCTATAGCAGCGCTATAGCGCTGCTACAGCCAGCAAA